TTGTAGGTGGTCCTGGTTCCTTATCTTTTCACTTTTGCTTAACTTTCACTCTTACTAACAGGCCAGGTGGCCGCTTAACCCTTTCCTAGGTTTTCTGCTGGAAAAAAGGTGGGAAAACATAAATTAAAACTCCATCCGACATACTTGGCTTGTTAAAAAATGATGAAGACTTGCTAAGGAGATAAATCTTCTAAAACTGAAGCTTGTGGTATTGCTAGATCATTTCAGAGAATTGACATGTGATTGAAGTCCCTAATCTGATTCATCTTTATCTTACACCATGTCATTTCTGAATTTTCAGGATTTTACAGAATATTGCACTTGTTTGGGTAAACAGAAGATGTTAAATTGAGGATTTGTTAGTTGTTCTTGAACTGGTTGTCACGGACAGGGAACCTGTACAGGACAAGAACGAAGCCCTGCCCAGGTCTGCACCATCCACACATTCTGCGCGGGGCTTCGGCCCGTTATTGCCAACATTATGCCAGTCCATCTTGTGGAGAGCCTTCTTTTCCTCCTCTGACTCTCCGCTTTTGATATCCTTCTCTAGGAACTGGCCCCTCTTGACAGCAAGCCCAAAGTATGTGAGACAGAATATCATTGTCTTTGCCTCCAAGGAAGACAGCCAGCGCTGATTGTGTAGTCTATAGAGAGTCGCCTTGCTAACCCAAAGGCAGCTCCTTTTGGCCAGTTCAAATCCAACAGCAGCTCCACAGGAGAAAGATGGGCCATCATCCCCTGTTCTGTTTATAGCCTCATAAGCCTGCTGGAAACGAGCTATGAGTTGATTGTGATTCGATGGCTATGAGTGAGCATCCTGGGTGTGCTTCCCCCAAAAAAATTTGCACGTACTCTTGGTAGTCCATGGGCTCTTCAGTACTCCTTGTCAACACCACAGTTAAGATGCATCAGAGCTTCTGTCTTGATTAGTCATTGTCCAACTTTCACATGCCCTTGAAACTATTAAAAATATGATGGTTTGGGTCAGACTAACCTCAGACTTCAAGGTGACATCCTTTTTATCCCTTAGCACTTTAAAGATCCGTGGCTGCGAATTCACCCAAATTGTTTGATTTCTTGACTTCCGCTTTCCTGGGTGTTGATTGCGGGTCCAAATAAAATGAAATCATTGGCATCTTCAGTCTTTTTCCCATTTATCATGATCTTGTTTATTGGCCTCGTTAGGAGGATTTTTGTTTGCTTGGTGTGGGGATGTTCTCTATACTGAAGTCTATAGTATTTAACCTCACATTCAAAATTCAGTTTCTCAACATGCGATCTGAACTCTGTTGCATACTTTTACTAAAAATGGAAATACTTTGACAGCCTTAAAGCTCATTACTATCAAGTTGCAGTTACCTTGCAAGACCAAACAGAATTGTCCCCCTGGGTTTCCAAGGGTATAATCTTCATGGAAGCAAACTGCCACATGTTACTCCCCTGGAAAGGTGGGTATGTTCAAACTTCTGAGCTTTTGTAACCAAAGAACACCTAGCCACTCACTATTACACCACAACTCCTTTGGTCCTAAAAATCTTTCCTTGAGCCCCTTACCTCTGCTTGAAATATGAATATAAGGGACCATCATTATTTTCTGTGTTCTGATAGCAGAATACAAATGCAACTCATAAAATGCCTCTTAGAACTGAGATATGCACAGCTTCAGCTTGAGGAATCTTGAGTCTGTAGCAAATTTCTAGAATGTCTCATCTTTTAAACTGTAGTGTATAACATGTGTTCAAATCTACCAGGTGCTCCTTGAGAAAAAGAGTGAGGCTCATCACATGAAAGTCTATCCTCTGGGAAACCCAGTGGAAGGTCTTTATGAGTCAGAATAAGCAAGCTGTTTAGCTAAATTGTGGTGCTATAGTTAAGTTCTCAGCTGCCAACCAAAATGTTGGCAGCTCAAACCCACCAGCCACTTTGCAAGAAAAGTTGTGGTGGTTCAGTTCGCTTCCATAGGAGTTACAACCTTGGAAACCCTGAGGGGAAGTTCTACTCTGTACTTCAGGGCTACCAAGATCCATAATCGACTTAACTGCAGTGAGTTTGGTTTGCACGTAAGTGCAAGGCTCCGCGTGTTCTGACTTTTCAATATCTTCTTATCTCTGTGGGCTGCACCTCGATTTTAAGAATGGGAGTGATTCGAAGGTGTCTTGTACAGTCCTGTGAGATGTGTGCCGGCCTCACTGTACTTTGGGCCACCCTCACTGCAAGTTCATCAGACAGTTTGTTTAACATGTTTGCTTTTTAAACACTTGGCGAATTAACAGGTGGCTACATGATTGAGGTGTTTGTTTGAACAGGCTAAAAAGCGGGAGGTCATTTACACACACGTTATGATGCAATAGGAAAATACCTAATTAGTCCATTTTTTGGCTCCGCTTCTAGTTTCAGTTACACCTGCTGATAGCAAGGCTCAGCAAGTTTGGAAAGATAGTGCTGCTTTGGCTGCCAGCGTGTGGGACACTGGTTCACTAGGAACGATGGGCATGGTCTCCTTGCTTCGGCCTGAGCGCTGCTTAGTTCCCAGTGTTAGTTGCTGTTATAATGTAAATAAAGAAGGTTTTTAAAGGCCCACGTCTAAACCAATTTAAGAATGATCTTGAAATTCACTTATGATACTCTCTCTGTGTATACAGAATGCACTGAAAGGAAAGATAATTGGTTGTCATTTGGCCTATTACATGAGCATTTTGATATGTTGGAATATAGGTTATGATTGGTTCATGCTCTGTCTCCATTGAGCAAAATGAAAAAGCAAACTATTTTGCTGAGTAATTCAGTGCTGGATGTCACATAGCGTCGATATAGCCAGGAGTAGAGGATGTAGGTCAGGGATTAGCCATCTCTTTCTGTAGAGGACTAGATAGTAAATATTTCAGGATTTCTGAGCCACATTGTCTCAGCTTTTCAATTCTGGTGGTAGCACCAGTGGAGCCATAAACAGTCTACAAATGCATTGATGTGACTGTGTTTCAATAAAACTTTATTTACCAAAAAACCCAAACCATACCATAGCCTGAGTTTGGCCCTTTGAGTCATCATTTTTCTACTTCTATTCTAGAACTACAACCCCAGTGGTACAACTCTGACATTGCAGGAAGAGCAGTGGTTATATGTAAGTTCACTGAACTTATATATGACCTCTAATATACATAGCCAAGACTCTGTTGTATACAATATGTACAGTACATTGTATATAAGAATTTTATTGTCAGAGGAAGGTCTTCATTTCATCACTAGATTCTTTTGAGACTAATCTTAATGGAGTTTTTTTAAGTTTGTTGTTGTGTTTGGTTTTTGTTTCATTTTACTTATCCTTTATATCCTACTTCCTTCCTCAAATTATTTGAATGAAGTGTCAGCTATGAGTTGGTTTCAACTTGATAGCAGAGAGGGAGGGAGGGAGGGAAGAAGTATAAAAAGGCATCTATAGGTTTTGGCTAACAAAATAGAAATATGAAATCATAACTGACATGAAAAGGTTAAGCGAAATTACCTCTTACTATTCCTTATCCACTTGCAAATTCAAGCTGGAAGCTAGGCCATTTCTGGGCTTAATCAATCTTTGGGATACCTCCAAAGGTAACTGCTGACGTAGTCCTTACACTATCTTCTCTAGCGCAACTTCTTTTCTGGGGCAAAGAAAATCCCTAATGTTTTATGTTAAGTCTCCTACCATAGGAAGTGTTAGTCCTCCACCATTTTACTCCTGATTGATGTGTAAGCCAAGAACTGTTACACCAACTCAGTGGGTGTATGAAAAGGAAGGAGAAAATTATGAGTTAATGAAAACGTTGGTGGGCAAGTGACCAGTTACACACATAGCCTAAGGCTTACAGAGCTAGCGTTTCGTTAGCCAAGGGAACTGTTTCTAATCATTTAGGACTACATCTTCTGCTCTGGGGGAAAAGGAGTGTTAAGTTACATCCGAGTTAGGTAAGTGGAAACACAGTTCCGAGGTAGTCACGGGAGATGGGAATTTGAGCTGGGTTATAAAGAAAGATTATTTTGATGGTGTCAGTATGTGAAAATAAGACAAAGATTACAAATACTGCTACCTGGAACTATGACTCCAGAAGTAGTTCTGAAATGCTGTTTGTACAAAAATAGTGTTTGTACAAATGACAGTACCAAGGCTCTGTTTAAATAACAGGGAGAGCTCTTGGCATAATGGGTAAACACTCGACTGCTAACAGAAAGTCCAGCAGTTCAGACACACCAGGAAAGAGAAGAGGCCGGATATTGTACCCTCAAAGAAATTACAGCCTATGTAACCCTAAAGACAGTCTTACAGAGACTACTCTGTGCTGTAATGAATTCAAATAAACTCCTTATTGTTAGGGAGCTCTGCCTAGTGGTAAAAAGCTAAGCTGCAATCCCAAAGGCGCACAGTTCAAATCTGCCAACTACTCCCCAGGACAAGGAGTTAGCTCCTTCTGTGAGATTTACTGCCTCTGAAAATCCACTGGAGAGTGAGCTATGTGTTGTTTCTAACTTGATGCCACATAACAGCACCATTATTGTTTGGAGTGATTTGGATCCAGAGTTGCTGTGAGGTGGACTCAATTTACAGAGTTGCTATGATTGGAATCAACTCAATGTATCACAATAAAATTTTAATAACCACATTCTAGTCGTTAGCCATATGGATGAAGAAAATTATTTAGGATTCAGTCAACAAGCTCTGCTGAGATGTTCCTTGAATGGTTTATCTGAGACATCTCACACACACACACACACACACACACACACACACACACGTGTTCTTTGTATATAAAATTTTTTAAAAATCCCAACCTTCAATTTTTACTATTTTAATGTGGTTAAAAGGGTGAAGACTTTGGTTCTGATTTTAATCCATGTGCTGTAGATTAACACCCTCACCCCTCTTAGCATTCAGAAGGAAAAATTTCTAGATAGTGTATTTTGCACACAGATATATATTTTTTCACTTGTCAACTTAAATGGGTTTTTTTCTTTCTTCTCTTTAACAGAAAAAGCAAAGAACAAAAGATCTGTCTCGAGTATTTCATTCTTATAATCCATATGACCACAAGGTAAGAGACACGTTATTAGTATATTTTACCGTTTATGTATTATAGAGTCAGAACCGACTCATAGCTGCTCTCTCTGATGGGTTTTCAGAAGTATTTCATTGCACGGAAGGAGATTGCCCATCCTTCTCCTGTGGAGCAGCTGGTGGCCTCAAACCGTGTGCCCTTGGGGTTGCAGCACAGTATCTTGCCACTAGGCCACCAGTATAAATTGTTGCATAATTTTTACCAATATATACTGTACTTGCCAATTAAATTAATATTATAGTAGACTATTAGAATTTTCAACTTTCTAATCTTTTTAAAGAAAATGGAAATTATGTATTCCTGAACTAAAATAATTTTATTTCTATCATATTAACATTTAGTTCTTCAGTGCCACAGAAATCTTACAGACTATAGAAAGGCAGGTTTTTTGGTTTGTTTGGAGTTTGTTGTTGTTTTTTAAAATCCGTTTATGTTCTTTCCAAATATTTATTAGATTAACGTGGCTTCTAGGAATGGTAAAGATAACTGAAACATTGAAAACCCTAAAAATATTACTGTGTAATATTATATCTGAAATATCCACTGCCAAGAATTTTGCCACAAAAAGACCATAAAATATAATGACCCTGATTAGTCATCCCACAGCTTTATAAAACAATGATTAATCTTATTTCATCTGTATCGTACACTCTCCACTCCTGACCACATATAAAGAATTTCCAGACACCTTTTTAGTTAAAATTTCACCATGTATTTATCCAAGATAGGCACCCTTTTATAAATAAAATTGAAATAACCATTTTGAAGATCATCCCTAACAGCATGTCTACATGGGCAAATAGATTCAAAGGTTTCTGTCACTTGGGCAAAGCTCCTCTGCCATATGAGTACATCTGTTAGTTTGAGGTGATTTTAGATGAAAATAAAAAAATTTGCACAGTTGACTTGCTAATATAAGCTTAAATCTTAATCTATGAATGTGTACAGAGACATGTGGTAGAGACTTTTGAAGCAGCCAAAACAAGCTTATGTGAAAACTGCTTTCTTCAGTTGAGAACACAGAGCTGTCTGGGGGTGGGTGGGTCGGGAGTGGAGACTGTGCCAGTTGTTCATGGAAATTGCAGGCATTTTAATATTTTCTAGTGTCTCTATAATGACCAGTTAGTTGCCTTAGTTGCCCAAGATCTGAGGTGTTTATACTTCACATGACCATGGCCATGTGTGATACTAAAAATTGTGCCATTTTAGATTACGTTCTTCAAGTGAAATCAGCCACTTTGCAGAATGATGACAATTTGTTTGAAAGAGCCTGTGAGAGAGAGCCTGCCATGTCTGACAATGCAGATGGAAGGTGCAGGCTGATAACAACAGCAGAAGAAATGAGATTGGCTGCATTTTCTATGGCAAAGTTGCTCCCCACCCCCCCACCCAGATGAAACCATTTTAATTACCATCAATCCAACAATGGATCAGGTTCACATTTAACACCTACACCAGAGAAATCTAGTGCAAATCAAAGGTTTTGCCTGACTTGTCTAAATTTCACCCACTTAAGACTTCCCCCCCCCCATTCACAGTTAAGGGAAATTCCATTATGCTTTTATTAGAACACTTAATGGAATTTAGCCACTTGCAGCTTCCACCAGCTTCCTCTTCATATCCTTTGTGGACTTGTATCAAAGTCACCTCAAATTATTTTGGTTTCCCTTGTGACGATTTCATTCCTCTACAAATTAGTCATCAGGCAGTGAGGACTTGGGTATAAAGGCTGGATGGTTTCCCTTTTGATGTTTGCATTAAGATGGACAATAAATTATTTTAAGTAGCTGGACTGCTTGATAAGTGATTTTTGAACTTCTGAAAGTTTGGCCTGGGTGGCTTTTTAAAACCTTGTCTCTTGCTCATTTCATGGTCCTCGAACACTGGAACCAGGAAGGATGGAGTACAGGGAGAGTGTTATATTTCAGGCTACTTTACTGTTATAATTACCCAGTTAGGTTCAAACAAATTTGTTTTTAGGCAAGTAACTTTTAATGTAAAGTTCTGCAGGAAGAGATAGAAGTGGTTAAGCATCTCATTTTCTGTGAAATTTCTGGGGTGTTGGTGCTGCTGTGGGCTGACGAGTTGCCATTGCCCTACCATGCGCGTCTTCACGATCTCAGTCATGCTCGAGCCCACCACTGTGGCCACTGTCAATCCATCTCATTGGCGGTCTTCCTCTCTTTCACTGAGCCTCTGCTTTTTTAGGAATGGTGTCTTTTGTCAAGGACCAACACCTCCTGACAGCACACCCAAAGTATGTGAGCCAAATCTCATCATCTTGGCTTCTAAGGAGGATTTTCGCAACACTTCCTCCAAGGCAGATTTATTTGTTCTTTTTACAGTCCGTACAATACTCTATACTCTAAGCCAACACCACAATTCAAATACATCAATTCTTATCTTCCATATTCACTGTCCATCTTTCACATGCATACAAAACCATGGAAAGTATTAAGGCTTGGTTCAGGCAAGCCCTAATCTTTAAATTGCCATTCTTGCTATAGAAATTTTAAAATAAGCATGTGATATTTAAGCCAGTTTCAACGATGGAGTGGGAATGGTGTTGAGGAGAGACCTTTACAGCACATTGACTGAGTGCTTGGCCGCTAATCAGAAAGCTGTTTGAGCCTACCCTTTAGATACACAGTGTTGGGAAACATGGAGATCTACTCCTACAAATATCACAAGCTTTAAAACTCCCTCGCACGCTTTCTCTCTGTAACATGAAGTTGTTGGTGGTGAGAATTGACTCTGTGATGCTGAGCTTCATACATATATATGTGTTGGTGTATAGAACAGTGTGGAACAAGTCCCCTGCAACTCATAGTAGCCTGTTATGTGTTGGAATAGATTTGTATTCCAAAGGGTTTGTTGTTGTTCTTATGTGCCGTCGAGTCGCTTGCGACTCATAGCGACCCGACGTACAACAGCCCTAAACCCTGCTCTATGCTGTGCCAATCGCACTGCCTCTAACACACCCATCGCGATTACCCCAGTCACTGAATCAGTCCGCCTCCTGGAGGGTCTTCCCCTCCTGTGCTGTCCCTCGACCCAAACAAGCATGATGTCCCTCTCCAAGGACCTGTCCCTCCTTACTACATGTCCAAAGTATTTAAGACGAAGCCCCAGAATCCTTGCCTCCAAGAAGCAGCCTGGTTTAATCCTCTCTAGGATGAATCTGTTTGTTTTCTTGGCAGTCCATTGTACATTCATACTCTTCTCCAGCACCACAGCTCAAAGGCATCAATTCTTCCTCTATCCTCCCTAGTCATTGTCCAACTCTCTGAAGCATAACAAGTGATTGTAAAGGCCATGGTCTGTATCAGACGCACCTTAGTCTCCAGAGAGACATCATTGCTCTTCAGTACTTTGGAGAGGTCCCTAACAGCAGACTTTCCTATCGCAATACGTTTTTTTGTTTTTTTTTTTTAATTTATTTCCTGGCTAGTGGTGCCAAGAGTGTTAACCGTGGAGCCAAGCAAACTAAAGTTGTTAAAAATCTCAATCTCTTCACCATCCATCCTGATGCTGCCAATTGGTCCAATGGTGAGAATCTTTGTCTTCTTGACATTGAACCTCAATCCATACTGAAGGCTGCAGTCCTTGACCCTCTGCAGCAAGTGCTTGAGGTCCTCCTCAGTTTCAGCAAGCAGTGTTGTGTCATCTGCATAACGCAGATTGTTCATAGATCTTCCGCCAATCCTGATGCCGCATTTCTCCTCATAGAGCCCAGCCTCCCTGATAATCTGTTCTGCATACAGGTTGAAAAGGTATGGAGACAGGACACATCCCTGTTGTACACCCTTCCCAATTTTGAACCATGCAGTGTTTCCTTGCTCTGTTCTGACAACTGCCTCTTGGTCCAAGTATAGGTTTCTCATTAGCATGATCAAGTGTTCTGGGATTCCCATTCTTCTGAGAGTCAGCCACAGTTTGTTATGATCCACACAGTCAAATGCCTTGGCATAATCAGTGAAACACAGATACTATGGCTATTTTTTTTTTCTAATAGATCACCGGGTTTTTCTTCACAAATACGTTGGGTGGATTCCATCTCCTTTTCTTGGATAGCAGTTGCAATAATTTACTTAGCTGAGAACATTAACTCATTACAATACTGGGATCTGTCTCTCTCTCCATCTTTCAATATGTATTTTAATTATATGTCTAGATCTCACTCAAAACTCATTGCTGCTGAGTTGAACTCTTAGACTACTTTCTATTGGATTGCTCCAAGGCATGGAGATTACTCATCTTTCTCTTGCAGAACTGCTGGTGGATTTGGATCCACAGAGAAATGTGGTTCTTGTGGTTGCAGACAACTCCTAGTGAACTACACCCCAAAGCTCCCTTTTATCTAGCTAGAAAAGTATATGTCTATATGGTTTTTGTAGTTAGGAGCTAACAGTTTTGACTAAAACTCCTAACAGCCTTATAAAGTTGGCTGCTTAACATCTGAGGATGAAATATATCTAGAGAGCAAGAGAAGTATGTGTAGTTCTGGTGACTTAGTCTATAAAGAGTTGCCCTTTCAACCCAAAGCAAAGACAGACAGTTTGAATCTACCAGTTGCTCTGAGGGAGATAGATGAGCTTTTCCTCTTACATGGTTTAGAGAAGCTGAAAACCTACTGGGAATTTAACTATGAGTCATTTCCAACTCAACAGCACATAACGACAACAACAGCAAATATTCTTATATAGATATAGGCTTTTAGGGCTATATGCTTATATATCATAAATAGAAGATCTTATAAAATACAGGATATATGAAATTTCTTTTTAAAATCAAGTTTAAGGAGAGGAGTGGGCAGTAGATTCAACACTGTTTTGATAATACAGCTGATGAGATTGTGTGGGGAGGTACACTGTTGTGTATATTTCTTATATGATTGAAATTTTCCATAATAAAAAGATGGGGGGGGGGAACCTGTGGTCTGATCTTAGGACTAGGGGTTGTGGTAGTCTTTCTCA